CTAAATATATATATAGAGTTATTTGTGTCACTTTCGTGTTGCGTGTAATATCCAATAAACCTGGTCATACCAGTAACACATTTTGCGATTATGTATTGATCTATAGTCATGACCTGGGGCTACTTTTCCCGACTTTGAAGAAAAATTTGTATTCTGAAATAATTCCTGGATTATTGATTACTATGTGAAACAGTGGCACAGTGAATGGTGTGTAGACTCTGCCTTTTATTTGTACATGTATTTTCCGCTAGCAAATATCAGTTGAATTGAAACAATATGTAACATTTGATTAATATCAAGTCTGAGACAGGGGTGATTTTATGGCGTTATAAAACATCAGAAGCTTCTGGCATTGATCCAGTCTGTCTGCCTCTCAAGTGGCTTTATAGAATATTGTCAGTAAAATCAGTCCTGGATAGTGTCTCAGTCTGTAGTACATTACAAACTTTACGTAGAAATTAACAACGTTGTATTATAAACGTGTACATGTATTTCCTCACTCACTTAACATGAGGCTGATGGCTGACAACACATTTACTTCAGGAGTATGCAGATTTATATATATATGTGTTTTTAATTAGTATGAACCAGCTGTCGAAATGAAACAGAAATTGAAAAAAAATTTTTTTAGTAAGCTAGTTGACTTTTTTATAAAAGAGTTTTGAAATAAAAATGCTATTAATTCCTCCTGTATTCAGAATGCATCACTGGTTGTATCAATATAAAAGTAAAAACCCATAAAATTCAGTGCAAATTGTGGCAGTTTAAACTTTGATAAAATAGTGTCAGACATTAATGTACACATACACAGGTTATGAATACTGAGTAGCCCCCAAACTTAGATGTAGATGAGCTGGTTAGTTTCACTCATTGTACAGTGTTTGGTATAAATTTTCATGTTACTTGTTCATGTGTCACACTTGAGCGATTATTTAATCACGATATAATCAACTAATTGTGAAAAATTATGTACTGTTAATTAAGTTCTCGTGAACTAGCATGTAGATCGATGTATGGTGTCATGGGTATCCATCTTTGAGTATTTTCATTTCTTAGACAATTTCCTAACAACCGTAAAGCTTGGGATAATGACATTTGGGATGTAATTGAATTGCTTGGATGAAACACTTCATGAAACTTGCTCAAATAATTGTAATTGAACCAGAAGCTGAAGATGTCAAGTCAAAAACTTGAAGTCAAATCATAGATGTGTGTTATATATTTCTGTGATAAAGAAGAGATGGCTGGCATTATGATACATAAAAATAAATTAATACATTTGTATAGATGTATTCTCGCTTAATATTTTGATAATTAATTTGACATCATAATTTCTTTTCTTTGATATTGGTTTGCATGTCAATTGTGGATTGATAGTTTTATTAGGATTAATCCGAGAAAAACAATTTGAACATTATGATTATGGCATAGAGCTACATATATGTATCCATAACTTGACATATAGCACCTTCTGTTAACATCTGGAAGATGGCAGCTATATTGATTTTGTCAGGACTAGTGTCGAAAGCTTGACAGAGTATAATAATTCCAAGTAATTACTATGGCGCCATCAGCAAATATTGTCTCGGAACACAGATACATTCCTCAGATAGCTATTAGCTAGACATATTACATAGGAAGCCAGATGGAGTTCTATGTAGCCCTGATGATTTATTGGATAATTGTGTACTGAAAGGCAGATTGGATAATTCTTCTGATGCACTTTAAATATGTTCAGTTTGATGAATTAAATACCAAATTAATAGTGGTTAATTCATTGATAATTTTCTTTCTTTGAAGAATTAAATCAACGAAAATGTGCATACTCTGAATGACTTAACTGTAAATTACCACTGACCACCGAGGTTATTAATAACGGTGTCAAACTATCAGAAGACTAATTATAGAAGCTGAATGGATTATCTGATGTTTTCAGAAATGTCATTCTAAACATAATGTATAGCCTATCACTGTTATGTACAAACACTGTAGGTATATTTGAGAGGTAAATAGTCGTGATATTAATGGGTTGTCTTACTTAGCTGTAGAAATCATTAGTTAGATCCTTGGATGATTCTGTTATGAATACCATCAGAGTTAATCACAAGGTTGTGTGGAAAGTGAAGGCGATTCATGGATGATATATATACATGAAGTCAGTTCTTAGAATCTGTCATTTTATTTCGGTTAAGTATAAGAGTACTTTTCTCCTTTGACATGTTATTTTGAATTTCGTAGTCATAAAGATTTAAGCTTCATATGATATATGTATTAGATACACTGGCGATAAAAAGAACAATGTTGACAAAGGACACATTGATGATTTAAATCAAAAGAATTTTTTTTCTATCTCTATTTTATGAAAGCTTTTGTTTGTCTTGCAATTGGAAGATTGTAGTTATGTTTCTGGTATTTGTTTATTAAATAAAGATTGGGAAGAAAATAAATATACTGATCTCTTCATGTGATAAAAAGAAGTTGGAATATTAATTTTTCACTCTTGTTTTGGTACTCGCATTATCATTTTATTGTGACAAGTGATACTGTGGAATGAGCATCGCAGCCTTTCCTGACAATGACAACACAATAGGACACTATTTACAATATATACAGAGCAACTTCACCGAGCCAATCCTTCTCAGAGCCGATCTCCTCTTGAAAACACAAAACAAAATGGCAATGTATGGAACGATATTCTCTTTATTATAGTAATAAAAAAACTTAGCACTACTGATCGCTCTCAATTCTTTTTATCAAACTAATTTTATGTATGAAAAGATTGAAACATACTAAAATTACTTCTAAAAACAGGTCTTACTTTAGTGATTAAGACCTCAGTATCAACCAATGGACCTCGACATCAACACTTGTGGTGACATTTGTACGCTTTGTGCCCAGGCACATACCAGCATGGGCAGTCATTGTACACCATACCTACCCTGAACAGGAAGATTATAACAAACAGTATAGATAGTTATCTCTCATGACAAAATGAAACAATATCAAATGAATGCATTGATCATTATACTGAAGCTAGAAATGTCAACAGACAAAGTGAAAATAAGTATTGATACAGAGTCAGAAAGTTTGCCTGTTTGTTCCGTTATTTTACTTTGTGACTCTGACATGACTATGGATTGACCAAGGTTTTCATGGTGGGTATCGTCGATGAAGCATCTTTCTTTTGTCATATTTTGCCATAGTTTGATTGGACTTGAGTCTGGATTTTTATTATGTCGACATGTTGATATTTCCTTTTTTTGCGTATAACAATGATGTTATTTTGACACATAGAAATAGGAACCATCAACAGCATATTGTTTTAAAAAATATTTTTTTATACTGATCATCAAAAACACCTGCCTGTTCATTAAATATATATATCGGTTGAAAACACTTACAGACTAGCCAACCATCTACCGAGGCTAGGTTGGCTGTATTCCGAGATCGTAGGGCAAAATGCGCAGATTTCTATACAAGTGAACACTGGTGTTTAACTTTACCGAAATATTTTCACGTTATAAAGCTTATTTTCTGTATTCAGTGGGACATGCACAGTGTAAATGCTAAAAGCAAATGGAATGGTTAATGTAATATACAGAAAGGAATCAGTTCAATTATATCCTAGCCTGGATTGGTCAATTTGGTGCACTTTTGCAAACTGAACACTTTCTCATACACAATCACACCCTCACAAAACAGCAAGATATATACAATAATGTTCCATCCAGATCCAGTTCATCATCCTCTTCACAATCTCTCTCGCAGTGCATTGTGATACCTGAATTACACAGAGGTGTATTGTGACTGTTAAGGAATGACAACTCTGTTAGAGATTATGGATGAAATCAGCTCTCTTGGGCAGGCATGTTCATGAGTACTAACCCATCTGGACAGTGTACTTCAAACCCAATGTGTACAGTAAGGCCCACTATCTGTAAAAATGACGCAAATATTCCAAGCAATGGGATGGTCTTATGTTGAAGACCAACAGTTATGGCTCAAGTCAGAGACATGTTAACTGCTGGATACTGAGGGATCTGTATTGCTGCCACCTAATGGCACATAACTGAATCTGTCTTAGCAAGATCTGATATGTATCCGTTGGTCTGTTTTCCTCTTCTCAAACCCAGTGTAAAAGATGATAAAAGAGCGAAAATGATGTAAGATGTCCATAAAAGTCAATGAAAACCATCTCATCAAATACAGTCACATTTATATTTGACTTGTGCATTTCAACAGTTTAATAATTTGAACAAACTGAGATTTGGTATGTGAAATGAAATGTTAGTATTATGTTATGGATTCATTATATAGAACACCAAATGTTGACTAAACATAGAATCAACAGTTAATTAATCAGTAATTGATCAATCATGCTGTACCACAGTATACAAGCTATTTATGTCACCTTTGGGACTCCATAGCTTCCATACTTCATAAGATTCATACATTGACCAGAATGTTATAAAAAAATAGAATATCTTTAACATAAGATGACATTACACGTAAATTGTTATCTTACTCCTATCACAAATGTTTTGAAATGATACATTACTAAATGTATGGCTATACATGAAATGTATGTCTAAACATGAAATGTACACACATGTACAGTAACAATCAGTCATCATCGTATTTGAGTGGACAACATTATTTGAGAATACTTGACCGGTCTTCATCAGGTAAACTCTCTAACCAAATTGATAGACCAAATAGGGGATAAACACTTAAACACATTCAGCTATCTGTTTTTTTCATTCATTGTAAGGTCTATGGAAAATGTGATATTTCTCTGCACTCATTAGGTATGTGTTGTTGCCTCCATGCTTTGAAAATGTCTTTCTGGAACCTCTTGTGACTTTTGAAAAATTTCACATGACTCGGCAATATAGACAATAACCCACTAAGCAATTACAATACATACAAAATACAACAAGCACAATATGGGAGCGTGACAAGTATTGTTATTAAATTTATATTTTGTTCACTAATTTCAGACAGGCAGTTAGAGCAGCTTATAGAAGTGATAGTGAGAGCCACAAACAAGGGAGTGTCTGCCACCAAAAATGTGACCATGTCCGAACCAAACTGGACATTTGGACAAGCCATTTTCTTCTCTGGCACAGTACTTACAACAATCGGTAAGGATGCACACAGAAGTGTGACATTTGGAGCACTGTCATGTATGTTGATATTTGCTGATGTTATGTAGATGATAAACCTTTTACCTGTTGTCTGAGATTCTTTTTAATTTTGGGTCTTTCAAAGTCCTCACAAAAATGATGGGAGGAAACTAGTAAAATTCTGATTTATTACCCAATGTGATTCATACTCAAAAAGGTCATTTTGGAAACCTTTATTGTGACCTTTAAAAGATATTGAATTTGAATATTGAGTTTTCTAAAATATTGGAATAAAGAGGAAAAATACTAAACATGTATTGAAATGTCTTCATCCAACATTTTATAGAAGTTCAAGATGTTTCATCTCAATGAAGTCAAAGTTTATTATTATTTCCATTTTTACATAATGTATGTTATATTCATTTACCCTGTAGGAAAGTAAATTGTTTATCGAAAATGAAATTTTGGGAAAATTGTAAGATATTTGATAAACAAATCACAAGTGTAGAAGTCCACAATTTCAGTTGACTAAACCTGATAGCCAAGACTGTTCAGTTGTATACAAATGTACATTGTATCAGTATACTGCACTGCTGCAAACATAATCAAAATCTGCTAAGAAACAAAATCCTTCAAAATTAGTTTAAAGATAATGTAATGTTTCTGTCTTGAAGATCTTTCATTCAATCTCTAGATATTCTACAGTAAAGTATATCTTTTCTGTGGCTGTTACAGTGTTATTGTTTGTTGATTAATTTGACCTTATTAAATTTGTAGGATATGGGAGAGTGGCACCATTGTCTGATGCTGGGAAGGGATTCTGTATTCTATACGCCCTGATTGGGATACCGTTAACACTCATCATGTTCTCAGCTGTAGTGGAACGTCTGATGATCCCCACAAAAATTTTCCTCTACTTCCTGTTTAGGAAGTTGGGCCATCTATATAAAGTGTTCCACATCCAAGTCCTTCATCTTGTCATCATGATCGCCATTGTGCTGGTGTTTTTCTTTGTTGTTCCCGCTGGTATTTACGCAGCCTTGGAACCAACATGGAACTTCCTTGATGCATTCTACTACTGTTTCATCTCCATGACAACAATCGGACTTGGAGATTATATTCCTGGAGATAATCCTGACCAAAACCTCAGAGCCTTATACAAGGTTGGAACTACAGGTAATATTGACTCTTTATTGTGATATTTGTCTGCCTTCACTATTTCACGGGGGCACATAATAAGTTTTACCCATGTCTGTCCAGCTTACCAGCTTATACATTTGCTTTGTAGTGTACCTGTTCCTTGGGCTGCTGGTGATGATGCTAGTATTGGCTGTACTCTACGACATTCCAGAACTCAACCTTGGATTTCATTTCTACTTACGGAGTGATGGCCAGGATGAGGAACGCACTACATTGCGTAGTTCTATGGATGGAGCAGGTGGACCAAAGTACTCCAAACAGGTGGACGATGACCAACATCCACAGCCAGTCGTCCCTCCCCCTAGACCACCCTTCACCAAAGAGGACACAACCATACAATCAACGCAATAGCTTGGATATGAGGTGCATTGAATAGCCACAAGGACTGTCAGAACTTAAAATTCTGTACTTATTTATGAACATAGTCTCCAGTATGTATTGCAGATACTTGTCCAAATGTATTATTATTGGGTACATGGTATGTTGTATCAATAAATTGTTGGAGGAAGATCAGGGTAGCTTGTCTCAGAAAGCAGGTATAATGACCATTGATGAGTCATTCGGGGACTTTGATGCTGTCAAGGTTATTTCTAGATGTGACCCTCGTATGTAAAATGTTTAACAAAATTTTCAAACAAAGGTATACGCAGTGTGTTTCTGACTAGAATGTTGAATGGGGGTTTAGGATTAGTGATTTTGAATTGTCTGAACAACATTCAAAGATGAAAACATTCCGAATTCTAAGAGCTTGAGTTGATTATATTTCTGACTTCAGTTGTAGCCTAGCTTAATCTATGCTTGTTTGTATAGCATTATGGTTTTAGACCATTTAAGTGCTTAAAAGCTGTAAAATTACTGAGAGTATCATTACATATTATTTACAGTTATTAACTCTATTTTCATGACAACATATATCAGAAGGTTGTGATTGCTATTTTACATGACCGTGATTTATTATTACCTACAAAAGCTGATTTGTTTCTGTATACAGGTAATTAGTATAGGTTTTAGTGTAGAGATCCTTTTATGGAATTGATACATGTGTCCATACAAAATGTTACAAGGATTTCAAATGGTGCAGATTTTCAACTCAATTTTAGATTAAGTAAATTAATTTAGAAATGTTCAAGCTAACAAATTAAAATTAGGCAAATACACAAACAAAATGGAGCATGAACAGTTACAGCTCAGTCTGGTTTTATTTAGTTCTTGTTGATGAAATCAAAAGATTGGGGTGACATTAACTATAATGAAATCAATATTTAAACATCAGAAGAATTAGCACTATATTGGAAGGCAATTTATATTTCCATATTTTGTATCTGACGAAATGTTCCAATCACCAATCTTTATCATATAGCTTTACAAATATATTACCAGTCTCTACCAAAGATTCACTCTAATGAAACTGGATATTGGTTAAGTCAGGTGTCACGAAATTTATAATCCGGCGTTCAGACATTACTCAGACCAAGGTATGTCAGAGACCGTAATTGAATTTTATAGTGAAAGACAATAATGTGTAAAACAAAATATTTTAACTATCATACTGTTAGGTAGGTGAATATAACTTCCTACATATAACTATTTTTAAATGGGCCTTGACTGAATTTAAAGTCAGATAATCAAATACATGTATTATAAGCCGTGAAATGCATTTCTAAAAATACAGTTTGTGTGACATATTTGGAATTTTTCATCATGTTAATAAGTCTTTCTAGATCACCTGACACCTGCTAAGTGATTTTTAATTTTTTAATTTTGAGAGAATCTCAAGATCCTTTTTTTTTTCATATCTGTTGAAATTGATTCTAAGTTCACTTGATCTTAAAGCTAATTTGGTGTTGAATTAACAGGTTTTCAACATAACATCTACTGTTTACCTTGAAAACTAAATTCTTCATATCAAAATTGTGAAAGAAATGTTGAGAATACAGGTTGACACAAAGAGCATACCATATAAAATGTCTGTCAATAATATATATAGAAGTTATCTATATTTTTGTGTGTGTAGCACATGTTGTTAGTGTTTTAATGTGTGTTTTATGTATTAAATAGTGTTTATTATTGTGTTGTGAAAGCCTTATGTGATCAAAATAGTGTTATATATATATATTTTACAGGGTATACAGTTGCTTAGTTTTTCACCTTTCCTTAATGTGCATTTTGATCTGATTTATTTTATGTTTGTTTGTTTATTTTTTATTTACAAATTTGACTTTGAAATATATATATTCTTTAGTAACTTTAAATACCAAATTACTGTAGCATGATAGATTTTGAAACATTCTTTTTCTTTTAATGACCATTTATGATAAATAGGAATGCTTTTGCTGTCAAGATAAACTCTACATTTACTGATCACATGGTCACGAAAGTTACACCCCACTTTAACACTTCATCCCTTAAAATGTCAAGCGTTGATGTCAATATATTTTGTCATAATTTTTCATGTTATTTTTTTTTTTAATTCTTTTTGCTTTTATTTTCTTATGAACACCTTTTCTCCGTTGTTTGTAATCTATAGCTATTGCGATCTCATTTTTACATTTTCACTATATCTTTAGCCTATTAATGTTAACACATGCACTGACGTAATCCTCATTTTTATCAACTATTCTTATTATACAATACTGTCTTTAAAAATCACTGAATGAGATGAAACTGCTTTTATGGATTTGTTGATATAGATATATGTTAGATAATTTTTTTCCTACAGGTATGAAATATCAAGTAGCTTTGATTTAGTAATTTCTGACTACATAAAAGGCGTACTTAGAAAACAAAGTTCTTGTTTTAACTATTGTTATGAAATGGGTCATTATGTGTCAAAATTTTGGTTCTAAACTGATATACGTTGAAGAGGTATATATTATTCAAATGAAATTAGAAAGCTTAATTGCTTATGTACTTAATTAAATATATGAAAAATCAGTCCTTTAAGTAACAAAAAAAAAGTAAATTCATCCAAAATGTTATTAATTATGATTTACATCATCAAGACGAAAACATTTACACAAAGAAATGACTTTGTACATTTCTACTTAATTGAAAAGATGTTCTCAAGTACTATATACAAATGTATAACTTTATTTGTTAAATATTGATTTTTCCATAGGATGTCATATAAACATTTTCATGTTTGCATCTTCAAATTCCAAGGGTTTCATCATCTCTTTGTGTATTGTCCATACCATTAGATTATGTCAGGCTTGCCATGTGATGTTCTTTAACTTTATGAATATCTGATATCTGATATTTTCTCCATTGAAGGGTGTGGATATTGAAAATTCTTTGATTTTAGAGATGCTTGATATAAATCATTATTCTGACAAGCAGCTTTATATGAAATTGTATATCTAACCATGTATAAATGCATTACAGTTTGTTGACAGAAGTATGTACTTGAACTCAATTGGTAAACAATCTTTTCCTAAACAGGCATTTTAGTTAAAACTTGGAAAACATGAGCAAGGTATATTTTGTTAATCTAGAATTCAGTTAAGATTTAGTAGTTCAGTACAGTAATATACTTTATGTAATTTTTATGACCTCAAGATAAATGACAGATATGCTAACTCTACTTATATTACACACCATCACATATACAATGTGTTGTCAGCATAAACCTAGGTAATTATACAATGTATTACCAATATACTTACTGTACTTTCACAACATTCTACTGTTATGAGATATATAGAATATGTATTATCATCACAATAGGGATGTGACACTTTTTCTTGCCAAAAGTTGATTCGTCTTCTCCAATATTTTTTAATGATAACACTCTCCATCATTAAATTTATCTACTACATACTCATCTTAAAGGTGTTTTTCACACTTTATTAAAGTCACATTGTCAGTTTCTGTTAGATAATCATTTAGAAAACAGCAGGACCAAAACCATAATGTAGATCATGATCAAGGTATGTTTATATCCTATTTGGTATAAACTCACCAATAACACTGTAAGAAGGAAGTACATTTACATGTAGTAGATTTAATAACTAAACAGTAATGCTGGAAAATGAAAGTGAGTTCTATACTATATTGTTGATGTCCTAACTTAGGTGTGATGTTTTGGATATTGTTGGAAGTTAATAATCAATATTTTGTTGATTTTTTGTTCCTTCTTGTTTTACTAGTTTTCTTTGATGAGTAATGTTGATACATACCACTCTATTGTATGTATACTACAGTTATTTTAAGAAACTCTACACCCAGATTGTTATATACCATAATGTTGTATGCTGTTGTGGCTTGAAGCATACATAGAAGTGCAATTAGAGAAAAGTATAGATTATTTTCAAAATTAGTGTGTTCATTATTTTGCAGAAATCTATTTTCCCAGAAAGTGTTCCAAATTAAATGTATGTGGTGCTTTCCTTCACAGTAAAATGCCAGCTTCAATAAAGCTAGAATATATAATTGTGATCTTTCTTCTAATTTTGTTGTTTAAATCTTGGTGTTAAAATTTATGCTTTACTACACAATAACCTGTTATTTTTCTTAGTATAAACGGAATTGTCTATTAAGTTGGTAATGTTTTGTGATAATGTGTCACAACATTTCTTGAGCGAAATGTATTTGTGTATTTCAATAAAGGTTTTCATGTGTTCTGAATATATATGAATGGAATTTAAAGTACAGTTTCATAGTCAGTCTTTTGAAAAGCAACACAGTGTGCATTAACACAAATAATCTCTATAAAATGGTAATTAGATTTAACATACAGCGTAACAATAGTTTCCATATAGAGTATTACCTATTTATGGGATTCCTCCCCTAAAATGTAGTTCACAAAACTGTGACTAACAGATATCAGTTCAAATATTCTGACGGCATAATGGTTAACTTAACCTATAGTTGTATCATCATAAGATCAACATTTCATTGTTTGTCAATGGACAGAAATTCTAATTAACAAATAAATTCTAAACTTGTACTGTATAAGCCATGCATCTTTACAATATGTTCAATACTAATGATTAATTATGTAGGATGAAATAGGTTTCACTGTTTTCAGAAAATGGTGCGAGATCAAAGTTTTAATGCATGTTTTATTTTTAAGACCAAGTCTATGGTACCGGCTGTCTATTGCATAATCTCACCAACAAAGTGCAATAAATAAGATCTTCTGTAAATCAAAAGCTGCTATATGTCAGCTAATACTTAACGTTTCATAATTCAGTGTATTGTGTATTATCCAGCCAGGTAAGGTGAAATTGTCTCCAATATGCACTGTTTCTACTTTATGAATATCTTGAATTTTTTGCTGTCATATAACGATACATGTATCAAACAATTACTTAATGTTAGCTCCTCAGTATTGATGTGAAGATTTGTAATTGACATGGTTTTTAGGTCATCTTTTGTTCAGGCCAATATATATAGCTGTATGGCTTGTATTTTTAAAATAGTACCATTTCTTTTTCGAGTATTTCAATTTTATGTTGTTAACAAGTTTTTCTAGACCATGTATTGTTTTGGATATCTGATACTCAGTAAAATTTATTGATATCTTGTATTACACTTTGTAATATCTTTGATTCCTATTCTGTCTAATGTTCACATTCCTACTATATATTTTGTTTCTGTTAAGTAAATATAGATCATACCAAAGTATTAATGTTGTGTGTGTTTTTATTTTTTACAAACACGTCAAAATATTTGATGTCATCATTCATCGGTCTGTATGGGATACATTTTATTTTGCCTGTAGGTCTCCGGTCTCCTTGGACTTGATAGACTTTTCAGGTGTTAAGGCCAAACTCACAACTAGTATTATATTCATCTTTCCTCTACAATTTTGCTGCAGAACATAAATAACATTTAAAGTGTGGCCATAATAGTATTGTTATTGTCGACATAAAAATGGTGAAGGTACAGTCAAAATGGTTGTTCTTCTTGAAAGATCACACCATTGGCAATGAATAATACATTTTGGTTTAAAAGGAGTTATAATCTGCATTAGAAAACAACATGCTTAAAATATAAGTTTTTGTGTGCAATATGTTTGGCTGAAAATTCCTGTCATTGATAGTGACCATACATCCCAACAGTGCTCTTATACTGAAGACTGTCTGAAGAACAGTTACCTCAGTTCTGCCCTTTAATGGAAGTTGAATTGGGGTCAAATTGAGCTGGTGCCCTCCATCTTTGTTCATCAATTCTTTTTTCCTTTTTACCCAGATGGACTCCTTGATCTTTCTCAGTTTCCAGTCATCCTCAAGTACCCTCAGATTTTTCCAGTCTATGATATGTATGTATATGTTAGCATGGCCTGTAATGACTGATGTTTTCCTTTCCCTGGTGTATCTTGTGTATACTTACTGGTTGTGTTACAGATAAAACATGAAAAAAATAGGATACAAAGGCTGAGATAACAATGCTGATATGAAGGGAAAGATCACATTTGAATTGTGAATTAGGTCGAGGTAGCATTACAAAGGTGAATGTCAGGATAAAATGACAGATGTCAAAATTATAATTAAAATGTGAAGGTCAAGATAACATTTCAAGTGTGAAGGTCTAGAAAGCATTTTGGACGTTGAGTTAAAAAATAAAAATTACAGATTTGAAGGCAAAATGATATTTCATGTTAAGTTAATGTAAAATTCAGGAAAATATTTATGATGTCAAGGTCATGATAACATTTCAAATGTGATGTTTCAGAAAATTTTTCTGATATCACAGTAAAAAAATTATGGAAACTATTTCTCAAGCTGTAAAAATTAAATTCAGTGCATTAGAATTAGACCTTGGTGTAAATTAATTTTAACTTCATGTAAGCCATTCTTGAGATTAATTGTTCTTATTATCAGTGAGACATCGTTCGGGTGACAGCATAGTGAAGTATGTAGGTTTGATAAATCAAACCAAGAAATTTTGAAAACATTTTTCAATAATGTATGTTAATTTGGGAAATTTTATCTTCTTGAATGAGATTTAAGTACAATCAGATTTCATCTCAAATCAAATGTAACTATATATGTATATGTGAAAGAACACAAACAAATCTGTTCTCACCTTGTAATTTCACATTTTTATTTTAATGTAAAATAACATAATAACCTCGCATCTTAACATTACTACTTTTCATATCAACACTCTTACACACTTCATCTTACCTCCAACCATACCTTGACTTTAATATGTTCGTTATAGCACCAACCTACATGATTATATTACTTGATACTTCGTAAATCTTCCACTATATGACATGAAAAGTGTGCTTGTCCACTTACAGTATTAACAAGGGCTAAATTGCTTATTATTTGACCACGGTATCTTAATGATATAAGTATGGACCTACTGATGAACTTCAACTAATTAAGTCTGAATTCATATTTGGCCATCCCGATTTATGCCTGAAATGTTTATATTTTATGTACTGATGAAACGTTTTATTTGCTTACAGACACAGGCCCTTTGTCTGTAGTCTAAGGGAGATAACTGGTATAAGGTTAAAATACACAGGGTGGGGGTTATTCATCATTTTAGTCTTCACATTCAACTGAAATGGTGAAGCTGTATTGTTTAGCCTTTCTAATACCACTGCCTCAAGTTATACAGTACACATCCATAGGCTGATCTTCTTTTCCTTACAGGTACACATACCCTGATCAAAACATATTTAGAGTACTACATTGCATTTCTGAGTCGTTAGATTCGTTTGAACTGCTGAAAGATCCATAAATGCTTCATTAAATAGTAGTCACTTGTTACTTTGATCACATTTTCAGAATACTGTATCATGCTTATTCAGACTGAAAATTGATTAGATTGTTGTAATGAAGGGATTCATGAAGGATTTAAAGTAATTATAAAGGAATAGAACATGTTTTCTAACGAACATCAATCATTGCACAAGCATACTTAATCACACACATTGCACATAGTAAACATGCTTGTCTCAAGTGTTAGAAGAACTGCCCTGTTGTGGCTTCTTATGGAATGTTTGAGATTCACATGGAAAGAAAAACAGACCACACATGGCATCCATTAAGGCTCGCTGACATGCCATTCTACTCTCATAGCCGCCTCCTTTCTCCTGGCTTGATGTTTCTCTCACGTTTCTTAAATACCTACAACATTCAAAAGTATTATGGCATTAAGCATTAGAAATCTTGAACATGCTGATGGAGTTTGACCACAGGTACATAAATGTACATATTTATATTAAGATATACATGTTTTCATGGGAAATGGCAAAGAAAGCCAATATGTGATCTAGACATTAACTTGTTTACTTGTTTGGTTTATTGCCTTGTGAACAACCCATGTCAATTAACATTCCTTTGTGGTAGTTTATGGCTACCTTGCAGAACACCAGGCAGGAAGAAAGCCAAATAATATCAGGTGCAATTAGAGTTAATTACTTTGATTAAGGACACAATCACAAGAGCATATATCATAACAGAAAGTGATCTCAGACTCCTGAGAAACAAAGACTAACCAAGTAAAGTTTATCTAAATGTTTTAAAAATATCTATGAAGAATGGTATGAAGGAAGCACACACACAATACGTATAATGTACACTATAAAATAACGAAGCTGTAGTTTAAGCAAGCAGAATTAAGACAGATGCCACAAATTAACAAGAGATCCCAGAGGGATCTTGGTGCCCACCATTTGAGGATCTGTTTTCAGTTCTTGATGATTTGTTTATTTTTTTTTGTGTGTTACAGGTGTTGTAAATGTTCATGAACTGGTCTTCATTGAATGCACTCAATGATGGCACAAGATATTTTATTAAGCACCTATTAGCAAATATCATTTGAAAAAGATCCCAAAGTATTATTAGATAGCAGTCAGTTACAGGTGGATAATGGACAATATGCTTGTGCTGTATTACTGTCGACATCCAAGATGGCTGCCTGTGGGCCACCTTGATTTCAAATCAGTCCAAAAAAGGTACAATGCACAACTAGGGACCAAGGGAAACCAATATCTATGAAATATCAGAAGGATCCATCCAGTACTTCCTCAGATATAGCAGTAACAAGATTTTACTCTCAAAATCCAAGATGGCTACCTGTCAGCCATCTTGATTTCGGATCAGTCCAAAAAGGTATAATGCACAACTTGGAACCAAAGGGAACCTGCATATGAAATTTGAGAAAGATCCATCCAGTACTTTCCAAGAAATAGCAGTAACAAACTTTTACATTCAAAATCCAAGATGGCCACCTGTAGGCCATCTTGAATTCAAATCAGTCAAAAAAAGGTACAATGCACAACTAGGGACCAAGGGGAAACTGCATATGAAATTTGAGAAAGATCCATCCAGTACTTTCCAAGAAATAGCGGTAACAAAGTTTTACATCCAAAATCCAAGATGGCCACCTGTCCGCCATCTTGAATTCGAATCAGTCCAAAAAAGGTGCAATGCGCAACTAGGGACTAAGGGGAAACTGCATATGAAATTTGAGAAAGATCCATCCAGTACTTTCCAAGAAATAGCGGTAACAAACTTTTACATCCAAAATCCAAGATGGCCACCTGTCCGCCATCTTGAATTCGAATCTGTCCAAAAAAGGTATAATGCACAACTAGGGACCAAGGGGAAACTGCATATGAAATTTGAGAAAGATCCATCCAGTACTTTCCAAGAAATAGCAGTAACAAAGTTTTACATCCAAAATCCAAGATGACCACCTGTCGGCCATCTTGAATTCGAATCAGTCCAAAAAAGGTACAATGCGCAACTAGGGACTAAGGGGAAACTGCATATGAAATTTGAGAAAGATCCATCCAGTACTTTCCAAGAAATAGCAGTAACAAACTTTTACTTCCAAAATCCAAGATGGCTGCCTGTCGGCCATTTTGAATTCGAATCAGCCCCAAAAAGGTACAATGCACAAATAGGGACTAAGGGGAAACTGCATATGAAATTTGAGAAAGATCCATCCAGTACTGTCCAAGAAATAGCAGTAACAAACTTTTACTTCCAAAATCCAAGATGGCCACCTGTCCGCCATCTTGAATTCGAATCAGTCCAAAAAAGGTACAATGCACAACTAGGGACCAAGGGGAAACTGCATATGAAATTTGTACTTTCTCAGAAATAGCGTTAACAAACTTTTACTTCCAAAATCCAAGATGGCCACCTGTAGGCCATCTTGAATTCAAATCAGTCAAAAAAAGGTACAATGCACAACTAGGGACCAAGGGGAAACTGCATATGAAATTTGAGAAAGATCCATCCAGTACTTTCCAAGAAATAGCGGTAACAAACTTTTACATCCAAAATCCAAGATGGCCACCTGTCCGCCATCTTGAATTCGAATCAGTCCAAAAAAGGTACAATGCGCAACTAGGGACTAAGGGGAAACTGCATATGAAATTTGAGAAAGATCCATCCAGTACTTTCCAAGAAATAGCGGTAACAAACTTTTACATCCAAAATCCAAGATGGCCACCTGTCCGCCATCTTGAATGCGAATCAGTTCAAAAAAGGTACAATGCACAACTAGGGACCAAGGGGAAACTGCATATGAAATTTGAGAAAGATCCATCCAGTCCTTTTCCAGAAATAGCGGTAACAAGAATTGTTTACGGATGGACGGATGGACGGACAACGGACCATGGACGCAGGGCGATTTGAATAACCCACCATCTATTTGAATAGATGGTGGGCTAATAATACATATATATATACAGCTTGAAGTTCATCATTCCGATTTGACTGATCCTTTACAAATCTAATTAATTTAATTTTTCTAAGTATAATGAGAATTTCAAGTTACCCGTCTTGAATAATGCGATCCTCAGATGGTAGCTCAGGTCCACACATCACCAACTCCATGGGACTATAGCGATACACCTCCACTTTCTGTTCAGGTGCTGGTTCGAAGTCTGCAGTCGACATTCCCTGTAAAACACAGAAGTATGACTGTCACTAGAGTGAAAACTAGAGTGACAAGAAGTTACCAGGTAATGTATAGGAAGCAGTGAAGTATTAGTGCTTTTATTTCTTTACCATATCAGGTGTGATGTGGCACCTGAGTTTTTAATTCTTACTACCCATTACCCTGTATACATAAAAACTTTTGTTTAGTGGATAAATATGGTTTTCATGGTGGTTGTCATTAAAGTGATGATTGCTGGTGTTCAAATTTTGAAAGAATTTGAAAATTTGAAAGAATTTGAAAATTTTGAAAGAATTTGAAAATTTTGAAAGAATTTGAAAATTTTAAATCAAAATTTGTATAGATCTTGGAGTAGATAGTGACAATATAAACCAAGAGAAATATACACATTTGTCCTCAATATCATTATTTTGTACCTAATAAAGCTGTCTCATAGGAGAAAAAAAACAAAAATTCACTCAGCATTACCGGTAAAAATGATAAAACAAAACTGATCCATAGATACACATCTTTATAAACAAATGACATGTCTGAAGTATCATGTCATATCAAACATTATAACATATATTACCAGTCGAATGCCTGTTGAGAATTTGGTTGCAGCTTGCTGAGGAATGCTAGAGACACTCTCTTCCTGTTGTTCAATATCAGCTTTATGAGTCGCCATGATATGTGAGGCAGGTAGGTCAGAAAATTCCTAAGGAATGAAAAACAAGGATTATTTCGTTTAGTTTGTCATGTAATAATCAACACATAAATGGTGCACAATATTTACTTCTATAATTCATCGCCATAGCATAATGTGATGTTAAACAGTCAATCCAAACTCTGATAAATATTTGATAAGCATTTCTGTTTATATGAATACGAATGACGATATTGAAATCTGAATAAGATGGAAGCTTGACACTCGTGGTTTAATACTTAAACATGGTTTGTGAAATGGGGCTTAACACATAGAATTAAATATAGCTTGTTAATGTGCTGTCTATCACATATTCCACACAAGTTAGCAAATATCTGACAAATTTTCCGTTCATTAGTCTGATCTTATTGAGCTCTGAGCTCTGATAAGTGGATTATCAAGCAATCATTTCACTTGGATTGATTGACACATTATTATGAGTCCTTTTGCTACAATGAAGTATTTGTTTACATGTAGTTTTCGGCTATTAATCTTTGTACACTTCAAAAGGCAATAAATCCATGTTAAGTTATTCTTATGTTCTTAACTCTATAAAATCATGTGTAAGTTTTAAATGATTTATATCATTGTGACAGAATCGGTCGTGAACAAATGTAATATATTTTCAAGTATGTTCAATATGTAAAAGGTAAATATGAAATATTCACCAGCTCATCCAAAAGAGCTTCCTTGTTTTTCTTCTTCAAGATCTTTTTGTCCATTTTGGCCTCTTCTTCATACAAATGTTTCCTGACTTCAACTGACTGTTTTTCCTGCTCTATCAGCATCTCTAGGTATTCCTCATCACGACCCTAAAGCACCACAAGTACAATGGTGTATCGAGAAGACACATCAACAACACCATATATCAAAACATTCACAAACTCTGTAGTTTAGAAAATATAGTACTTTTACATTGTTTTGAAACACTTAACCATGAAAGGATAAATTTCATAATACTGGAAGAGAAGTATTAAGTCATTTAATGATAATTGACTTCAAGGACTGAAATGTGATGCTGTTGTATATAGACTTAATACATTGTTTGTGGCAATGATTGGAAAGCTTTAATATGTCTGTAAGTCATTAACATTAATGTCCCTCCTTTATTTCTGCAACTTTTTCTTAAATTGTTGTTTGACTAATTAAAAAAAAGAGTGACCTTGACCTTCGATTCCATAACACAAACTCATCTAAAACATTGCTGTAGCCTTTTTATGCAGTTTTATCAAAAATGAAGCCAATAGAGGGATGAAAGTGGTTCAGGATGGGATGGACATGGGAATTACTGAATGCTTCACTTCCTTTCAGTCCTCTCGAAAATGTCAGAGGCATAAAAAAAAATCAAAATAATGAAGTCAAATTTTAAAATACAAACCAATGTTGTTCCATTTCAATGTGAGAAGTCCAGCCTTGTGTTGTGCCCCTTGGCTTTTACCATAATTACAAGATAGATGTGATAAATATCACAAAATTCCTTTTAATAATTGGGATTCCAAGATTAAAACCAAGAAGCTACTGTGTTGACTGCAAAAATCTTTTACTTTTTATCAAAAGCTATATTTCAAATTTGCTGTGCATACCAATTTGGTTTTGTTCTTCAGAATCTGATCTCTGTTGTCTCTTCTGTACTGTTCTATCATCCTTCTTGTATTTTCAACATCATTATTACTTGAAAGGTTGAACACTAAAAACAGAAAATGTTGAGAAAATTCCATCACATGTGAAAGGATAAAATAACAAACAGGAATGATTCATTTATATCAGACAAATTGAATGCTAATATCATCTTTTCAAAAATGGATTGTTACAGATGCGAAACCTTATATGTAAATAAATAGAAAAAAATTTTCAATTTAATGTTTTTGGAGATGACTGATCTCTTTCACAACTAGGAAAATACCTTACTTTTTTTCATTTTAAAGAGTTGAGACTAGTGTGACATTAGAATGCACCACTGTTAACACTGCAAATAAAAACTGCACTTGAGTAATTTGTTTTGCATGTATCTTCCTTTCTATACTGACAATAAAAGTACAAAAAAAAGTTCCTGAAGTGTTACTTCCCTTCATACATTTTTTATCGTCTTTCAATGATCAAACCAAATGAAAGATATGACATAGAACACTTTTGAAGAAATCAAAAACAAATACATTGGTGCAGTGTCAAGCTTTTATACCAATAACGCTTCACACAATGACATTATAGCTAACACAAACTATTAGTTGAATATTCAGAGATTTCCCTGACCCCAAACTCCAGATATAAGACATGAAATGATTATGGCAGAAACAGTAACCAGCCATCTGTCTGTTGAAGTGTCTTATGTATGGGACCAGTGGAAAGTGGGGCTATCACTCAATAAAAGTGTAATCCCAGTGGAAGCACTGAAATAATGACCTCTGTAAGTTTTTTTAAAATGTTTTTCTGGTGGTGATTTTTTATTCTCCTCATAATCATAATACATACCAATTGTTTCTATCATCTCTAGGTAATCATTGTAGTCATTGAGTGTGTCAAAGTCCTCTTCTTTCTTGTTAAAGCTGTTTTAAACAGTGATCATAGAAATTCTGTTAACACAGTAAACCTCTTTATAATTGCTTTATTTTCACTTTTATAAGATACTCCAATCTATTAAGTATATGTATTTAAATATCTTTGTCCCACATCTGGTTTTAATTGCTATTTCTTTTCACAAACATACATGTATATCAAGAGATCCCTGTTTTTCAGGATTTCATTTTTACACCTCCCATTCCCCCATCCCACTCCCACCCAAATATATCACAGAGAACAGTGATCTGTACTAATATAACATCATTACCACATCCCCATCACAGGTACTATGGCATGAAACAACATTACAATGTTAAACACCCCACCCCCACCCCCATCACAAGCACAACATTATGAAACAATATTAGAATTAAGCCCCATAAAAGTAGTTTTGAGATCATCATTTAAGATAATTTGACAGAAAATTATTCATGGACATGTTTTGTATGTTTAACTCTCTGGCATGCTCTCTTTATATATTTACATTACAACAGAACATATGAAACTGCCAGATCACAAAAATCAAGTCATGTGAGTTTGAAATATTACGAAGCCTTGAAGCTTGCGAAATATACACACTATTTTGTTTACACTGAACTGTCTCTGACTCCTATGTATAAACAGGCATTCACTTCAGAGATTAGATATTTTGATGAACATGTATCTGATGATGAGCTTCCACGCCAGATATCTGTATATATGTCCATCAAAATATCTTTCATCTTGTATTTACAAATAGGAGCCAAAGGAACTCAAGCTACTTACTCCCTGGACAATTTCTTTCTTATCTCTACTTCTTTCTCAATGTAGGAGTCTTCAAATAGTTGGAGCCGGAAATTGTTTCTACGCAGGGCAGTCCCACATTCTGGGCATGCCCCAGAACCTTTGATGAACAATAAATCTACACAGCTTTCACATCTGTAATGAAACATACAAAAGCAATTAATTATTTGAAAAAAAACATAAGAAAAGGTCGAACTATTTAATGTGATTATGACATGGATAGTATGTAAACTTAGAATGTACTATCCATTTTTCACATTTTTAGATTTGATACTAATCACATATTATACAGAGAATATCATTACATATGCCGTACTATCAATGTTTACTACTGATAACATCATTTTTGTACATGTGATAAGTCGGAAATTTTCACAAGTTGATATCAGCCCAAGTGTTATCATAACCCCCTCAAAAGTGAACCACACCCCCTAATTAGTGACATCAAACACTGTCTCAAATTTTCATATTTGGCTGTTTCCACATATCACTGTCTGATTTGAAGATAATTTGCCTGGAAGAAATGTGTTCTTTTGTTTCTTAAGAAAACTCATTTTGAATTCCACTCAAGTTTCTGGATGGTTTTCCTTATTAGTCACACACCTACAACTATCGTCGGCAAACCTAAACAACTAAACATGGTGACTAGGACTAATGATGGCGAGGCAATTTTCGAAGAACTTGCAGCAAGAATTATCAAGTTTGGTGACAACAAACAGATGGAGGAGGCACGACGTGATGCAGGAGAATGATTCAGCGATAATAATGATATGGAAGCTTTCTTAGAATCAAAGAGAAATAAGAATACTGCGAGGAAAACACAATTTGTTATAATGTTGATTAAATGATTTATTCAAACGATTATCTTTTGTGTAGTTTATTTTAAAGGGAAAAAAAGGTAAAAAAAATACTATCTTATGACCATTTTGATATCACACTCCTAATCAGGTCTCGAGTCTTCATATCAGCCATCGCACCTTCGGCCCTCTGACAGCTATCATGACCATCAGACTGACACGGGGTGCGATAACAAAATGGTCATATATAAAATGATCTCTAAATATGAGAGGGACTTCCAACCTACAGACTGTACAGTGTAAACCTAATTAATACGCATCTCATTTTAAGTTAATCCTTTATAAATATTATCTATGTCTTACAGTGAATGGCCGCAAATGTTAACGAGAAGTTTAAGGGATGGGTTTCGATATTTTGTCGTTTTACATCTTGGACATCCCAGATCATCCATCACATCAGCTACATGGGTCCAAGAACGATAACTCGGTGAAGAGTTATGGGGATGATTCATTATTATCAAATGTCGATAGTGTCATATTTTACAAACTTCCTTGAAATTACATGAGGAAGTTTAATACATTGGAATTATGTAATATACTTTTCGCTAAAATATCAATTAAAACTGGGCAAAATCAGCATAAATCATTTATATTCATGAACTATTTAACGAGTTGTCCCTTTAGAGGAAATACTCTTTTATTTTTGAGATAAATTTTACTATAACTTCCGGTTAGATTTCACGTGTGTGCAGAAAACAAAGTTTGGTCCAGGTCCTGATGATTTCATTACGTGTTTTCAGAACAGCAATAAGAACACTCAGGAAACAAACATCAGTCATTTGTGATGTGGACTTGTTCTATTTTTCAAACACAGTGCGTCATCAATTTTTAGTTTGTTTACAATTGCAACGGATTTCGTCAGTCAGACGAATGGCTACCTCAGAAAAAAATGAGCCTTGTATACAACATGTTCAAAAGTTAAATGAATCGGCTAAGTTTCAGTCAAATGATTTGGGAACCTCTGCATGCTCTGCTGCAAGTGGTCTAACAACAACAGATAAACATATGCATTTGAAAGCATCTCCACCACCTTGTGTAGCTGGAATGAAGGTCCTGGATAAGGACAAATTCCTGAAGAAAGTCATAGTGCAGGCCTTACCCATACCAAGGAAGAAATTACATCTGTTTGCAAAGTATTTCGAAGAGTGGAAATTTAAAGAGTGTCGTGTTAGCTTAAAGGGAATGGACACTGAAAAAGAGAAAGGTTTCAAAACAATTGTGTTTCATCCAGATAAAGTTACCTGTTTTGACGATCTTGGAGATGACTTCAAGAAACATTTAATTGAAGCTGATATTGACTTAAGTCAATGGTTCGAAGATGAAGTGGAATTGAACTTTGACAGCTGGAAGGCCAAAGACATCTTACAAGCAATTATTCCACAAGAATTAGGGATAGTGTCTGGTTACTCACTCATTGGCCACATCATACATCTGAACTTGAAGGAGGAACTTTTGGAGTTTAAATATATTATTGGTTAGTCACAAGGAAAACTGTTTATTTCTCAAAAGTTCAATTTGGGTTATATGTTGTAAAGAAATTGAGCTAAATTTATAAACTGTCATGTTATTTTAATTGCAACCAGTTAGAATGAAGCCTCATGTGAATTCGTTTATAGAGTTAATATCATGGACAAAGTAGGATATGTGCATTATCGGGACTAGTGGTAATTTTCATTACATTTATGTGCTAAAAACCTTTAGTCTAGAAATACTTTTGGTGATATGAATTATGGCAAAACCATTTGGAGTGAGCATAGTATTATAACTTAGGTATTTAATTGTGGTAAACAAACATGACAAAATATTTTGCAACAATACTCATTTAACCTAAAGTTTAAGGAACTCTTCCATCCTTTAATTCATTCTTTGTTTGTAAATTTTAACAGTTTTTAGGCTGATAGATTTATGTTTAAATATTACAATGAAATATCTGCTGTAAGGTCCTTCATGTTTCCTTATAGGTCAGGTGCTATTGGATAAACATGGCTATATCAGAACAGTTGTGAACAAACTCAGCACTATTGACAACACCTTCAGAAACTTCCACATGGAGATCCTTGCAGGTGAAGATGACACTATTACAACAGTCAGAGAGAATGGAGCTTCTTTTAAATTTGACTTTTCAAAAGTCTACTGGAATACAAGGCTAGGTAAATCTTTTACTGAATTTTCAATTAACATTTATATTCAAGATCTATTCAACAATTAGAAAAGTATTTTGAAAATTTTAAAAAATGCAACGAAAAGGGACACAAAAACGATAAAATAGATAGTAACTGTAAGTGATGACAGAACATTAATGAACTCATGCTGTTAAATGTTTCTTTCTTGATGTAAAATTGTTCTGATGATGGTTGGCATAGCCATCCGAAACATGTCAATCAACAAAACCTACAAAATCACAGAATCCCTGGTATTGATGTTCCATCCTTTATCTTCTTGTGATACCTATCATCTGTGGAGCTCTATTAGAATACTCCAGTATCCAACTCAGATTCCTCTATCAATATACCTACCTACAAGTACCACCCACAGGACGTTTGAACTCCTCTACTGATAAATCTACCTACCAGCACCACCCACAGGACGTTTGGACTCCTCCACCCCTTTGTGCTGTCATTACTTTTAGTGTTTATTTGGTTATAAATTTAAAATGAGACCTATAAGATGTTCAGAAATTATCAAATTGTAATGTTTGGAACAACTGCTGATTATTGTACTAACTTATTGTTGGTTTTAACAAGAATTTTGTGCACAGATATACTGTATTGTAATATTAAATTCTCAAACAGTTAGAATATATACCTGGTCATTTAAAAGTTTATGCAAATTACAGCAATAAATTTGTAGATCAAACTGCATCAATTTGTTGTCCTTAATTGATTACCTGAGGCCTTGTAAAGTTATCAATGGTTCAGTATTTTATTAATCAATCCTTCATACAATATTTAAATTTTCTTAATACAGGTACAGAACATGCAAGGATAGCTCTACAATTGGAAAAACAAGATTTAATGTTTGATGTGTTTGCTGGAGTTGGACCATTTGCAGTTATAGCTGCAAGAAGGGGTGTAAATGTGTTTGCTAATGACCTTAACCCACATTCTTATGAAAGTTTAGTAGAGAACCTTGCCCTTAACAAAGTGAAAACAAAAGTGAAATGCAGTAATTTGGATGGCAGAGACTTCATAACATCTGTGATGAAACCTGAACTTCTTAGATTGTGGGATTTAGGTCATATGAGAGTTCACAAGACGTATGCTGTAATGAATTTACCAGCATTAGCCGTGACATTTCTCGATGAATTCATTGGTCTGTTATCAGACAGAGCTGGTGATCAGGACACTTATCCAGACCATCTTATTCCTTTGGTTCACTGCTATGTGTTTGGAAAGGCAGCCGATACAAGACAAGCTGCCAAGGACCTTGTAGAAGAGAACATTGGGGAGTCACTACCAGATGATGCCAAGTTGAAGTTTGTAAGAAATGTGGCCCCTAACAAAGATATGTATTGTGTGGCCTTCAATTTTCCTAAACACCTGCTTTTCAAGAGTGATGGAAAGACATCAACTGTGAAATCTCATCAGTCTTCAGGTCAGTTTCACAATATATATAAATAAAACAATACCTGGTAACAAATGAATCATTGGAAAAAATACATAGCTTATTTGTTGTGAAAAAATGTCAGTGTGATGAAATCTAAGAGTATAGGATTTGGCATTTACTATGTACCTGTTTCCATTATTGCATTGTACAAAAGAGCATCTTCTCGGTGTTAGTTTGTCTAGTGATTCCCTTTATTTTGTTTATACACAACATGTAATGCTTTTGTTCTATACCAATTATAGGTTTCCTATATAAATATATTTATAAAGAAGATTCAGTTCAATGGATGTTTGTCAAACTTTGATTTAATAAATGCCATGTTGAGATTATAAAAACTATTACTGGAGTTCAACTTAAGTTGGTCTTTTGAGATGCATGTTGTTTTATTTTTGTTAAATTTTCAGAAGATGAGCCACCAGAGGACGCGTTACCAGAGGATGAGCCACCAGAGAAGAGGAGAAAGGCTGATGACGAATAATGATGCTGTTTACTTTGATAATGATTACAGTTACAAATTATAACTATGTGATATTTTATTCTATGTAATGACACAATTCATTCTAAAACATTGAACTAGAGCAAAGGATGGAATATAACTGTCCTTCAGTGCTAGAGCTGATTCAAGAGGTAACTTTTATTTGTTAAAAAATAAGTATATACACTACCTAATCGTTTTGTTCATTTTTTATATTTGCATCAAGGTTGTTTTTAAGTTCCAAAACAAAATTGCTGTGCATGTCATATATGTAAAGACATTAACCTACAAAATTGATTAAAATGGTAATGATAATAACACAATTTTAATTGAAAGATTGATAAGCTTGCTGTGCCTTGCCCAAGAATATTGTGTTTTGTGGTTATTTTCAGAGGTGTTCATCGTCCACAATTTTCAGATAAATTTGATTACTAAAATCTCTGCTGAACATATTAGCACAGGACAGGTCATTTTCTTCGAGTGACTCTGTTGCGAACAAGGAAGAAGCCTTGAAAAATATGTGCAAGTTCATGATACCAAGTGACTTGTTTGGCTAGAATAAATTTATTCACTTCTGTATTTTCTACATTTCTAGAGAGAAATGACAATATTTTCTGAGTGGTAGGGCAGCACAGTAGACATTACACTTTCTTTTTACCTATTGCAGCAAGACTTTTAATTCCTTATCACACATATGAAAATTTAATGAATCACCTGTCCATCCAGCCTTTTTTTAAAGTAGAAATCATGGACAGAATGCAAAATGACACTGGTTAAAATATACAACATTTACAAGGTTATAAAAATCCTGGTATAACCAACATTGTTTTTGAGTCATAGGCACATAGTTTTTTTTTCAGATATTCACAAAAAACACCTGTATCTTTCTACAAATATATACTGATGTAAATTATTCAAACCATGATATGTAATTGTAAAATACATTAACTCTTTGATTTATTGTCATTTTGCTGTTTGAAGTTGCAACAGAATTTTTCTCTGAACCCCCAAAATCAATTACTATGTTAAGAGTTATATTAAGTTTAATATCTTGGACATCAAATATTTTTCCTGTGGTACCTTCCAAGTTTGTGCAAACTTCTAACAGCACTCAGTGATTAATGTTCATAATACAATGAGTGATTTGAAATGATGCCCAGACTAGAAATTTCTCTTTGTGTTATTACATATTCATACAACCAATTCATCCTCACTCATGGCAAGTGAACATAGTATTACACATTGAAAATTTTTCACTTTGTTAAACAATCTACCATCTTTCAATTTGTAATATCTGCAATGTTCATAGATTGACCATAGCATTGGAATTTCAATCACATTGTCATGCCTTTCATATTGAACTCCCTTCATTGGAGCAAACATCATTTACCTGTTCAACAATTTTAGTTTAATTCAAAGAAAAGCATTGTTAATTTTTCATTAATAGAAATGTCTCTTACACTAGTGCACATGTTTCTTTATCATTTACATATAAAACTGAAAATGGAATTGTTGGCCTGTGAAAGCCATTTTTCATAGTTACCATTATAAATACCTTAAGTAATATATATATACAAATTTTAATAGTTTTTCTTGTCTTATTTGGCATTTCTTTGTGTTTTCCACAAAATAGGACTGTAATAAAAAGAGAAATTGCTGTTGTGTTTAGAAAGATGGTGTCAATAACTTCTCTGTACTATTAAAGGTAATTCACATTTTGTGTGCTTTTGTATTTTGTATTTTGTTTGAGCAAGTGAATATTTCATTTTCCATCTTTTCACACAATCAAATCATTCCCTTTGTGTCAGATTGTACCAGTTCTTGGATCCACCTAGAGAAAAATCATACCTATATGTGTCAGTAAAGCTAACAATGCTTTATAATTTGTTGCAGTATACAAATATACATCTATAATATCCCTACTTTTCAAAATGGAATCCATTTAATTATGTATAATTACAACTTATTCAAAGGGCCTGTTTCCAGTAATGTTAATTCTCCATTGGAGTTACTTGGCTACAACCAGACGACAACGTTGTCGTTGACCGAGGTTTTAGAGATGTCCTACCAGTTCTCGAAGCCTCTGGCCTCAATGCTAGCATGCCGTCATACCTGAAACCCGGTAAGTCAACATTCTGACGTCCAAGCAAATCTTGACAGAACTATCACCAAATCGAGGTGGATTGTGGAATCCTATCATGGTCGTCTGAAACACCGGACGTTCTTCCGAACGCAATTGGTGTCTAACAGCTTTATCAATGTCATTGAGGCTTTGCTTCGAACCGTCACAGCCTGTCTGAATGGTATTAGAGGACCGATCTACCAGAGATCTCCAGAGAGAGATGCCAAAGATAGGCTAATGGCTGAACGTATGAAGGTCCGTTTGACAACACCGAATGGTTTAGCTCAGAGAGTCAAGATAGATCCGGATCTATCTAGACGGGCAAGGTCCGAGTTTGTCAAGATGGATGCATCTTCCGTACTGTTTCCCCGTCTCGATCTTGATTACTTGAGAACGTATCAGATATCTCTGGCTCCTGGTTACATCGCCGAACATTTAAGTGATGACGGAGACTATGAGGTGTGGCTTTACCAGCACCCCCCAGACCTTCTCCGATGTCAAATACATATACAAAAGCCAAACGAAATATAACGTTTGGATATATTTCATGTTGAGGCCCCAATAAAGGACTACTACTGCCAGTGCCCAGTTGGAGAGAGAACGATTGGAATGTGTGCGCACATCTCCAGTATCTTGTACTACCTTGGGTATTACAGGACGCTGGAAAACCCTCGACCATTACAACCACAGGTAAAGAAATTCCGACAAAATTTGAAATAGTTTTCCATGCGGCAACGGAGTGCATATGTCGAAAGTATGTTTGGGGCTCGATATGAAAGATCCCCGTTACCATGTGACTAACCAAACTTATAAATATAGGTATTATACAATCGCCCGTAGCTATGAACACTCCCGTAAATGCGAAAACCAACCAAAATCATAAGGAACACGTTTTGTTTGTTGTTCTGTCTATTTGTCAGCCAATGTCTTCAACCACGGGGACTTGTGAAGTAGCCATCTTGGATTTTTTATGAAAAAGTGTTTCTCTCACTATTTTTCATATCTGTGTACATATTCTCAACATACCGAGCAAATACTCTCGTTTTTTTGTTAATTATCTAAAGAAAGTCGAAAATCGGCAATTCAACCATAGGCTAATTCAACCCAACATTTGAAAATGTTCCACCACTTACATTTTGATAATTTTTCCTCTCATCAATAGCATATTACGTACTATTTAATAAGATAAAAATTGGTTTGCATCCAACGCCCATAAAAGGGTGTATTCTCTAAAAAACACAGTTTTTGTGTCTAAAATGTTATCATCGAAAATTGCATTTTTGAGATTGTTTCATCCAAATGGCGCGATGGAAACATGATTATTTTGTCACAATCATGCCATGAATGTATTCTTTACGGTGACTATCATTTGATTAGATTTTCATTAATATTTTACATAACATGCACATTTTATCAACACTTAGACAGCTTCTGAAAGGTACAACTTTGAGGAGCCATAAAAAAACAAATCAAGTGACCTATATCTTTATACTTTATAGATTTGTGACCACAACGGCATGGGAAATGCACCACCAACAGGAAATTTGAATCAGAGAAGGGGCCGTTTTGGAAACCGGCCCTTTTATATCATAATTTGATTTTTTACACACGTAGATAATATATAATTATGTACTGTAAACATATAAAATTTTATATAAAAAATTATTAATCTAGGTGATTAAAAAATAGATTTGGTTTAGCTAAGTTATATAAATACGTGTGTATTTTGTAAGAAAAAACTGTGAAGTGTTAAATTATGAAGAAGACATTGATCATTTCTAACACTGATCACAACATATGATTTCCTCCTTCATGTGGTCAGACTGACAAAGACTGGTGACCTCTTTGAGAGAGACCAGGCCCCACTTGTATAAAACATCTCAACTTGAGATTTCCTCAAGTCGAGATTTTCCTCAGCTGATATCTCCTTGAAAATATCTTGTATGAAAATTCCTCAAGGAATTTCAGGACATCCTAGCCGATGATTTCCTCCTGTTCCTTGAAAAAATTTTATACAAGCCGTTTTTGAGGAGATATCAGCTGAGGAAAATCTCGAGATCACCTTTTGAAAGGACATCCTGCTGACATATATAATGTTTACACTGGTACAGGTACACTTAGTACCAAAAGTTTGACAGATTCTATCTGGATACATCAGTAATGATTACAGTAAGTAATGAAGTCAAGACATGGATTTTTCTTGATTCAGACAGATTTCAGGCAAAATTGTATACGGTACAAATCCTGATTAATGCTAACAATAATACATGTAGTTCCACTTAAATTGCCTCTTTGTAAATATATGTTGTATATTATTAAGGGAAAGTAGTAAAGGGTAGGAAGACTTAGATATGTAAGTTAGTGGTTAACTATTACAGATGTTCCATTTTATCTAAATGATGCTTGCAGTCAGGTATTGGTAGCCCTGCATTTTGATATATTGGATACAGTGGTTTCACTGTAAAATCATTTTCATATTCCAAACTTATCAATAGCCAGATGCACTTTGAGTATCTCTCTAAGGACTTTGTGAAACGAAAGTGCAAGATAATTTACATGATGCACAAATTCTGAAAGTATGGCTTTATCGGTTTTCAACAAATCGGATTTAAGTTATGATTTTTCTGAAGTATTGACTGACTATACTTAAAAGGCCATGATAAGTTCAGAACCTGAAATAGTTTTTTTAGGTCCTGTTGTATTCGTTATGAATTTAAGTATGTTCCGTTCTCTCATTTTCAATTGAAATGTAATTTCAGCTAAAGACACAAAGCTAGTAAGTTAAGAATTTATAAACACCACAGAGGTTACATTGTGAAAGGAAATATGCACAAATGGAAAATACCTGACATATACCCATGTTAAATATCACTAATGACATTTAAGATCAGAAAACTATTTCGTGATGCCTTCAAATGAATATGGACAGACTATACACAGTATGATGACACAGATCAAGACTTTTAATCACATCACTTTTGATACAATCTTAATAGGTATGCTCGTGTGTCTGTAAATAACACCTGGCATTTTTAAGAAAAACGTCCATGCTTTGATTAAAAGCAGATTAACAATAAAGAAACATAAAAAAATCCAAATACTTGTATTCAGTATTTGACATTACTTTTCATTCATATCCGCACAAAAATTTACGTTAAAACTATTTGTATAAGAGTCAGAAGGCCCGGACATATTATTGGAAACTTACAATATCCACACTGTTATATGTTATCTTTATGGTCACATGTATAGGAATAATCCCCTTGATTAAATCACCTTGTGTAAAGATAATGTCCATGTCTACATGAAAGGTTATATCGGCGGTCTATTTTTAACCCACCACCATCAGATGGTGGACTATTCTAACCGCTCTGTGTCCATCCATAAACAATTTTTGTTATCGCTATTTCTTAAGATGTACTGGATGGATCTTTCTCAAATTGCATATGTAGGATCCCTTTGGTCCCTTTGGTCCCTTGTTGTGCCCGTTTGATTTTGGAACTGATAAAAAACAAAATGGCCGATAGGCAGCCATCTTTGATTTTTTTTTCAATGAAGTTTGTCATTGCTATTTCTTGAAAACTCCGGGTTGGATCTCTCGCAAAATTCATATGAAAGTTCACCTTAGCCTCTTTTTGTACCCATGATATTTTAGAACTGATCAGAAAACAAAAGGGCAGAAAGGAGGCTATCTTGGATTTTGACTTTGAAAGTTTGTTATCGCTATTTCCTGAGAACTACTGAATCGATCTTTTTGAAATTTCATATAGGCTCCTTGTTGTGTCCATCTAATTTTAGGACTGATTAGAAAAGCGGCCATCTTGGAGTTTGCCTAGTAAAGATTGTTATTGCTATTTCTTAATGAGTACTGAATGGATATCTCTCAAATTTCATACGTATGTTCCCTTTGACTTTCATGTGCTCGTTTGATTTTTGGACTAATCAGAAGAAACAAAATGGTTCCAGGGGGCCATTTTTGGAGATGGTAGGTAAAGATTATCATCTCTGTTTCTGCAAAAGAATGTTCAAATGTCTTATCATAAAAAATAAAAACAGAGAAGAGAAAAGAAGGGAAAAGATCCAACTATCAAAGAGCATACAAAGATCAAACAATGGTGGGCTCCAAGATCCCTCTGAGATCTTTTATTTACTTTATGATAATGACGTCACAATTGAAAAGAGGTAAATATTTTATCGTCACAATTGTCCCATCCACCACAAATAGACAACGAAATAAGATGTCATACAAGAATCGGGCTTTCATCTCGTCACATGTTTAACTGTTTACCAATACCTCTTGTTTGCTTAATCAAGTTACAAGTGCTTTGTGGAGTTTGTGCTGTACAAACTGTACAACAGGAGGTCTACTTTGGTTCCACCGCAAACGTAATTGTAATGTCATTATTATGAATAAATGAAATATTTTTCGTACAAAGATGAAATAGAGTGATAACAAAATAAGAAAATCTCATTAATTGAATGTTTTATTTGCTGTAAATGCTTTTATATACTGTCCACACCATATGGCCATGATAAGTTGTTGTAGCCAGCGAGTAGATGTTATTTTACCAGGTGGTTTATGGTTGGAAGGTCTCCTTGTGTTTCTATAATGTATACCTTGGTTTAACCTCCGAATATTTCATTTTCTCTTGACACACCTGATCGAAGAGCTCATTTTGTGCCACTGTGAACCAGTTTTTCCAGTCACCAACTTCACCTAGAAGCAATAAAGCCACCCATGTAAATGAAGTGGTTTAATATACGCTGCACTTACAAGTATATAACAGGGAGATACATACAAAAAAAAAAAAAAAAAAAAACTCTGAAGATTCCATTCATTACAAAATGCTATTTGAACAGACCGTATATATGTAAAAAGAATAATGCAATATTGTATCATTAATATTTTGCCAGAATATATATTTTACGTTTTTCCTATGAATGTTTTGAAAAATAGATAAATATATCAATAAATAAGTAAAACCAGATTTATAATTTTAAGAAATCGTATTAGTATCATATTAGCCTCAGGTGTGAGGTATTTAGTGATGATGAAAGCATTTAATCTTACCCTTTCTGTACATCGCTGCTGTACCTCCTCTCCAACCACCAACCACCTCCATGTGATTTTTCTCCTTCTTCATCCGGTCAAAGTGACAAAGGTCGATGACTTCCTTGAGAAAGTCCTGTCCACGATCTACTTCAAGGAATTTAGCGAGCCGGTTCACCTCTCGGAGGGCGTCCTTCCGACATATATGATGTTAGAAAAAATAGAAAGATTCGATTCACAATAATTACTATAGTAAGGCAAACATGTGCACATACAAGTAGTTAAGGCAAAGCATCCGTATGACTTAGACACATGTCACGAATAATAAATTCCCAATAGTTTGCCAAGTACTTTCGTTTTCCTCTGTCTGTAATATTTGCCTATTGGTGTTGACCGAGAGGCAATAAATATGTAATTAGTAATTTATATAATCAGATCAATAAAATCACGGATACAGCGTTAGCATTATTATCATTAATGAAAAGTAATTATTTGAAATATTCACAAAATCATCGACATATCCTCCTGTGTTTCAGCCTTAAACCGCGGAATGATTGCTAAATAAGTAGAGTAGTGTTACAGAACTTTTTGTATATGTCAATCCCAATCATAACACTGGTATCAGTGTTTTGATTTAAAAAGACGGGTACATTAGTTATGGTTGATGAAGAAAACAAATTCTGGCCCAACTTGATTATACCATCATTCTTTAATTTTTTTAAAAAAAAAACCTAATGAATGCGTACATCTCCTTAAATCAATTTACCATTCATCAGCATTTTTATTAAAGCACCTTCACGTCATTACCTCTTTCATGTCTTCAAATGTTGTCATAAAAATCGGGTAATCTGGGTTATCTGCCATGAATTTTTCCCATTTAAGGGTGTAGTCAAACCAAGTTCCGTAATCAACTACAATTGTAGACATCAAACTTGGTAATTTTATTATCAATGACATATTATATGTATAGTTGATAATTTAGACTGTACTCGTCTTATTGAAATTAAAGTCATAGTTTGTTGTTTTATGTCTTCATATCGAATGCATACTTGCCTTTTAGTCGCGATAATTGATAGTTTTAATATTCTGGAATTAAGCATTCAATATATTTTTTAAGTACTTTAATACTTATTTTCCGCGACGTCATTGCTTTCACATACTGACAGGGTATATATATTACGTTACTACTTAAGGACACCCCTCACCGGAAGTTACTAAGTGCCAATATCTATATTTCCTGAGCTATAAGGTCCCTTCACCTGAAAAGTACACTAGGAGAATATATACGCCAAGTTTCGGAAGAATTTCTTTTCTGTTAGCATTTCAATTCATGGATTGAAAAATTACTTATGTTTACCACATTTGTTCATGTAAAGTTACATTTTCTGATGATCTAAACTTACCATCGCCTTTCAAGTATCTTGGAACATAGTTTCCCCATGTTCCTGAAAAATTATAACTTATAATATTACTGTGATGGTTGAAAAATGATACAGCCACATCTTTAGGATTTCGCATTATGTACACGATCTTGCACTTCCGTTTGGCGAAGTCCTTTGGCAGGTATTCGAAGTACATGTGGGTGTTTAAAACACGTGGTGATGGGAAGTTATCGTATGATGCCTTGGGGATAACTTCCATCATATAATCACTCTTTGAAGTAGGTATCCGCCGTGCCTTGTTCGTCATCAACATGCATACAATTTCCCAAAGCATGTGTGTTCCTGGAGGGAAATGTCAACAATAAGCACAGCTGACCGGAGATAATGTTGACATTTTATTCTTTTACATCGCTTATCAATAGCTCAAAATTACACAAAAGAATGTAGCATCATCTTTCAAGTTTACCCCAAGGAATACTCAATTCGCCCTATATTGTGAAGTCCGCTTGATACTGACTTTATTATAACAAATGTTCTAATAACAAATGGTGGGATCACCTGCTATTGTCTTATTTCAGTTCAGTTTTCTTCGAAGCTAAGGTATTAAAACTTTCTCTCGTACTGATAACACACATGCCTTTCACCAAGGCAAGCGGGATTTGATTATCAAATGTCCCGCAATGTTTTCTCTTGGCTCTACACCGACTTTCTGCCCCAGTAAGATCCACCCGCACCAGGAGGAGTGTTTAATGCAAGTTGATATGTTTCACGATTGTTGTTAGGTAAATGGTGCTTATATTTTTATATGTTATTACTGTTGATGGTGATCCGTGGTTACAAGATTTTAACAGCTTAATTTAGATCATTGTCCCTGAATTTCATTCCATTCGATAACTAGATACATATGTAATACTAAAATAAGGAATGATCATTGTATCATACCTGATTTTGGATAGGTACAAATCATGACGTCATCATCTCTTGCCTGCCAGTCAGGCATAGACAACAATTCTTCCTCCTGGTTTTTGAGGTTGCTGGCCAATGTCAGGTAAAAACCGTCCAAATCCATTACTGTGAGTGTTGACCCATCATTGTATGGTAATTTTTTCAAAGGCATCTTGGAAAGATGGATTCCCTTCAACATTAATTAAAATTAAAATCAAAATCTAAATTAGAGTATATCTAAACTTCTCACACTAATCAAAGAGTGCATATTTTCAAAAAGAATGTTCCAATTGTATAAACATGAGAGGTAACATCTTGTGGAAGTTTGTATACTGGAAATTCATTTAAATGTATTTATATGTCAATTTATTCTAGATATCTGTCGCTTAGACTACATTCATATAGACAATACATACATTCTGGCAAATAAGAAGTTATAGTATCATATTATATATTTATTTATTACATGCTTATATAGTAAAATATTAGAACGTGTATAGAATTTTACAGTTACATCATAATTTAGTAAATATGTATTTGTGTCCGCCTGATTATAATGCGAATTTTAATAAGGCCCTGTGAATCTGAGGAACAGGTGTTATTTTGATTCTTTTCAACGAATTCAATTATGGTTACAAGTGTGTCATAGAAAACCTCTCTGTTCTTCTGTTAATAACGAATTTCACGCTTGAATGATTTTGGCCATTCCACTTGGCTCTGTACTGAAATTATTGTGCCATTTTCATATAAAGGAAAATGGAACAAATCATTTAAACTCATGTTTGTCAAAGTAATGTCAATGTGTTGGAAAGTGACTATACATGATAGTCAGAGGCAAACATTTGGAAATTTATGCATAGTAATGCTTTTATTTCACGTTGAATTTGTCGAAATAATCGTTTTATTCTAAATTTAGTAAGACTTATGATGGAGATTCATTTGTAAGTTTCATTAAAAAATGATACATCTAATTTTCATCAAAACATATGTATATATATATATATATATATATATATTTAACGAAAAAGCGTTAAATGTACTTATCCGAGGCATGCATTTTGGAGTTTTTATTTACAAAAACGATATATTAGTATTTTTCTGAAATGCCACTATATAATTTATAGTAAAACAAGTGGCTCATAGGGCCTGTATCGCTCACCTGGATCTTAATGCTCAGCAATTTTATACAAGCTTATACGTTGGGTATTTCAAATATTTCCCGGAAATTAAACTCTCTTTACCTCTTTGATGGATCAAGATCATTAGGTAAATTCTTATATCATTGCTGATTTTCTGTTTTGATTCCCAGTAAGAGTTTATATGGTTATCAGGTTGAAAAATCGAAAATATCACGCAGAGGTGTGCTACACATAACAAGCAATTCTCTCTCTATATATACATGTATGCTTACTTGATGAGGATTTCAGCTATATCAAAGATATCACCCAGCCATTAAGTCCAGATGGGTAGGTTCAGCATTGCCATATATGGTTGAGGGTTGGGGATCTCAACTATTTCAAAGATATTACCATGAAACTGAGTGGGACTAGACCCCAGGGCCAATTCTTACATCATGATTATGTTTATGGCTTTATATCCAGCAATGCTATACATGGTTATAGGAAGGAGATCTAAACTCTCTCTTGCCTCCTGCCCAAAAGAGAAAATGTCCACCGTTTACACAAAATTGATTTCCCTTCAGCCAAAGATGCTTCTGACCAAATATGGGCAAAATGCAATCATTTCTACAAGAGGAGTAGAACTTTAGATGACTTACCAAATTTCCCCTTTTGGGCCCCGTCTCTCAGGCCCTGAAGAGGTGATGGACCTACCATTTATATTTTAAAAAATAACCTTTCCTCTAGGGATGCTTCTGACCAAATTTAGTCAAAATCTCCTTAGTCGTTCATGACTAGTAGCATTTTGCAGAAAAAAGTTGACATATGACAGACGACGGTCGCCGCGGTATGCCTATAGCTCACTTGGCGCTTCAGATCAGGTGAGCCAAAAACTCGTTCACCTGCAGCGAGAAATCCGCACATGCGCGACGGGGTATGTCCTCAATGACTGCATATGTTGGTAGTACAAACCATTGCCATTTTCTTATATTGCAAGATGAACGCCAGAATATTTACATTTTTACACCGCCAACTATACGTGAACGAAATGAACTGATTAAATGCCATATTTTGATTCGTCGACTCACCAGGAGGCCGTCCCGGAACACAGTCTTCTCCGTGTACGTTTTCAGGAATCTGGTCATGTGATTCTTTCTTTTGAAATGCTGGTATTTTATTTTTTTGTTTTGTTTTTGTTCATATTTTGCCAAAGTTTCATTGAATTGATTTTCAACTAAGACTTGTTGGTTTTATTCCTTGCGTTTATTCAGAGGTATGCATGTATTCTACATTACCTGCTTTTGAATAATTAGATTCATGAATTATAATTACATGCACGTAAACTGTAATTGCTTTAATGTATTTCCATTGTACCTCTTCACTTATATAAAGTAATGCATTTCTTACGAAGTTGTATCACCATTCCATTCAATTCGTTTGGCAAATGTATGATATTTTTTAATTCTATAATGCGCTTCTTTACTTTTCTATAGGAACGTTCATAAAACTTAAGCATGTACCCTTTCCTTGCCTCAAATAATTTTAATTTGCCATTTTTAGTACAAATCAATATTTGCCAATGGTATAAGATTAATACATACCTTCAAACCACTAAATACAGTTAAGGACAAGAGAAACAGTCTTCCATGTGTCACAAGATACATTGCACTGTTCTTGACCTCACGTGGTATTTTCCTATTCAAATCACGTCTTGCATTTGAATTTGATGTAACTCCAATACCAAAGATACATTCAATAAACATCTCATGAATACACGTGCTGACTCTAACGGAGACCGTCACATAACTCCCTGAACTACCCGTGCTAATATTGATTGTAATACTAACTGAAGTAGGAGATAATTCTACTCAACAGGTAAGTCTAGCTACACTTTAACAACAAACCTGACTTTGTTAGCTGGTTGGTTGACAGGATTTCTGTCTCCGTGATTCCTCCTGTTGTCGGGTTTCGTCTCAGTGCTCTGGTGACCTTTTTGACATCAAACGTGTGTTGTTAAATCTGCTATGTATATATATGTGATTTGAGTCATGACGCCATCTAGGGGGAAATTTTGGAACAACTACTTTCATTCACTAATTTCATTCTTAACATTTCTCACATTTGACCAAACAGAACGCTCGCTTATCAATGCCGTGTGACTTCTTTTCTAAAATCGGCGACCTTTTTTAATATGGCCAAATTGATAACGTTAGAAATCGACAAGAACAGTGTTTAGTCTATTGACGATATTGACAAACATTTGTACATCAACTTTGTCACAAATTCACGAAATATCCACAGATATTATAACTACCGATTCTTGTGTTCGGCAACATCGACAGGACCACTAATCCTGATCGAAAATCGAAGAATTAAGAGTAAACAATCGAGTTTCCCTAGTAAATATGTAGAATGATATCTAAGCGAGTTTGAAGTTACTGATGATAAACTGAATTTCCAAGCCGTCTTTCTATGAATGAAACAAAACCGCACGAAGTGGTGCTTTCGGCGAAGTTCAAATACTTCACGCACGTATAGGGACTACTAAAACAAGTGACGGGCTGGAATAACACGGACCACAATAGTTTGTGGTAAATATATAAATAAAATTAGAGTTTATTGTTAACGATGTTGACAAATAGATTGAAAAGAAAAAAGACAAAAAGGAGTAACTACAACAAATAATTGAGATTTTGAGCATAGTTCATCACAGACTTAGGTTTGGGTTTATATAACAGTACATGTTATTTTATAATGTGATGGAAATTATTTCATATAATCAGAATTCTTTAGTACATGCTTCAGGCGGTGATCTTTACAATGGATGGTTCGTATGTTTAACAGATTTTCCTGCACATTTCAACATTGTTAGCCCGAGTTTCCCCTACATCTTACACACGACTTTTCCCAAAGACATGTCTAATAAAGGAACCAGAGGAAACCTTGGCTTCTACAGACCTGAATAAAATTCTTGAATGAATAAATACATATAAATATTCCATAATCCACCTCCATATGTAATGAATGACATTATATACACAATTGTTACATGTGACCCAGTAAGTTTTAGTATTTAAATCAGATGGATGAGATGATCAGCTTTCTCGACGCTTATGTAAATCCCATTCAGACATTCTTATTCTTGCCACCTATATCTTTCTCTTTCTTACGATCATTTCTTCTCAGTTAGATATTTGGTCATTTTTCTCCAGTGATTTTTAGCTGTTATTTCGACAACTGTCTTTATCATGTAATAAGCATGTTAGAAAGCCAAATTAATCAAATATTGAAAAACGATATTGAAAAGACGTGTACACAAAAGAGAAGCTTTTTATATTATCTTTCCAAATTTTGATAACATATGTATTTCCTATGTATTTTCATTTTACATGTACAACATGTATGTCTGTTTCGTCATTATAAGAACTGGATGGCTATGATACAGATCCATCTCTTTAAAAAATAATAATTTCCTACATTTGAACTAAAAATATATTTATATAATTTAATTGACTCTTACATCCACGTGATCATTCGGGTAACTGTGATATACATGAGGTGGGGCCGGTTATACTGTCAAAGTACGTATACATTAGTTATGTGAGATCATCTTACCAGATTGTCATAGTCATATTTAACCTGTGTTGATCGTTTGGTATAAATAGACCCCTTTTGATCTACTAGAAAAGGCGAGGCCACACAGTAGAGATGGAGGAGAGAGGCTAGTCTCCACTAACGGGACGCCCGCTTGATCTGTCTGAACAATGTAAGAGTGTAATTTTTAAATATAAGGATATACTTTGTAAATATACATTCTAAAGTAAACATGAAGACCAGAATTTGGATATCAGTGTCATTACTGTACAAACTATACTGGGTGTCCCGAAACAGCGACGAAAAGATCTGGCACAAGTTAAAATGAAAGAGAAAAGAAAAAAAAATGAATAGCATCACAAATAAAATTAGTAAATATCGCGAGACGAAAACAACAAAGAAAATACGGACATGTTAAAAGACATGAATTCATGCTTTTTAAAAGAGTGTTTATTTGTTG